AAAGTCTTGTGAAAAGTATTGTGATATTTTGATATTTTGAAACTGTAAAACTTGAGGTCTAGACTAAAAACACCTAATCAATTTAAAATTTATTATTAACATTTGATGATGGTCTTTTTTAAAACAAATAACATATATCTTTTATTTATTTATTCAACTATAACGCACCACACTTAATTTCTTTAATAGGGGCATGAAAAATAAGGCTTGGTGACATGCTACACGATTATTTTAGATGTGCCGTGACAAATAAAAAATATCATACCAAACTAAATTTAAAAAAAATCATGTGACTGCTTTAATTATAAATGTCTGGCCTTTATTTAAAAGTCGTGTGTTAAAATTGGCTTTGTGACAGCAGTTTCATTAGAAAATTTGGCGCGATTATTTTTTACAGTGTACTACCTAATTGCTATAATATATATATTTTTATTAATTGCTTTAATATATATATATTTTTAATTTATATATATAGTAGAATATATATATATATATATATATATATATATATATATATATATATATATATATATATATATATATATATATATATATATAGTTTATGTAGCAGCACTCCCTTGCGAGTCAGGCTATTTGTTAGTCGATGTAGCAGCACTCTGTTGCGAGTCAGGCTATTTGTCAGTCGATGTAGCAGCACTCCATTGGGAATCAGGCTATAAGATAATCGATGTAGCAACACTCCGAGCATGTTTTAAAAATATATTTTAATAAAGCAACAACAAAAACACCATTAGTTTAAAAAAAACTTTCTAGTCATTATTATTGCGGTTTTTTTAAAAAATATTAAAATTTAATGTACTTCCGCATTAATTTAATACTTACTTTGACACTTTGTGACAATAAAATGTAATTGTCGAAGTAGCAAAATTGTAGTCAAGAGACTTTTTTTACATTAAAAGTCTCTTTCAACTACACTATATATATACATATATATATATACATATATATATATACATATATATATATATATATATATATATATATATATATATATATATATAAATATATATATATATATATATATATATATATATATATATATATATATATATTTGTATATATTATATGATACTATTATATATTATATATAATATATTATTATGTTAAGTATAACATTTTACATAAACTCTTTGATTATTACTATTTATTTATTTTAGAATTGTTTCATTCATTTTCTTTATTATTCTTTTTTATATTTATCATAAGGATTAAAAAATATAAAATAAATAAATAAAAATATAAAGTAAATAATGAAATAAAATTCTTTATAAATGTTTAACAGCACACTCTTAACCTGTTTCATTCTACCAAGACCTTTAGGAGGTGGCAATGCAGATGCACCATCAATTAATTCACGCATGCAACGATGTATATCTTTCTAAAAAAAATAGCAAAAATGAAGTTTATAATATTTTACGCAATAAAAAATATAGTTATAAAAATAATATCAATAATAATAATAATATAATAGTAATGTATAAAAACAATAACAATATACAATAATAATAACAATAACAAGTACCTAACAAGTAAATATTAGTGCTAACATTAAAAATAAGAAATCATAAAAACAACCTTATTAATAATAAAACGAAATCCCTTACTACTATCTCACTCCATGTAAGTTGAGGGTACATTTTTGTAAACTGAGCAATCATATCTTCATGGTGTACCTTAACCAAAAAAGGGGTGATAAATAAATATAATTATGGTAAAACAATAAATTTCAACTTTTATTTGATTTTTAAAATAAAATTAAATAAAACATGTTTAATTTTTTAACTTATTTCATATAACTTTCAAAAATAAATAAACATGTTACAAACATATAAATGACCAAGTTGCATAACTAATACACAGATATATATATATATATATATATATATATATATATATATATATATATATATATATATATATATATATATATATATATATATATATACAAGGTATGTTCAAAAATTAAAGTGACTTTGTATTCTTAAGAAAAAATATTTATTTATTTTGTCCCCTTCAAAGTAATACCCCTCAGATACAATACACTTATGCCAACGGTTTTTCCAATCCTCAAAGCACTTCTCATAAGCACTTTTCGGTATAGCCTTGAGCTCTTCCAGCGATGCAGTCTTTATCTCTTCAATCGTTGCAAATCTCCGTCCTTTTTTATGTTTATACCACCTGTCTTTTTCTCAGTAAACCCAATGTAATAATATTATTTTTCTTCTTGGTGAGTTTTTACATTGCAAATATAAGGTTTTTTGTCATTTTCCATTGAGTGGGCATAAGGTGGTTTGTTGACAACTGCATTTTCACACACTCACACACACATATCTCTTTTTTTGTTTTTGCAGCAAAAACAAAAAAAGAGATAACATACTTTTATAATTTTTTTTTTCTAAAAACAATTTTTCTTCTAGTGATGATTTATAAAAATCATCACATTACCACTAGAAGAAAAATGCAGAATTCCACTCCATTTTCACTGGATAATTTCTTAAAGTAAGAGTCACAGGGAGAAAAGAACAAAATAATGGAATACTCTATTCATCATGCTCTTATTAGCATTACTGAATTGATTCATATTGTAATTGATAATCATGTTGACCATAAGATTCTAATTAAAAAAAATCTTGTACTATTATGGTAACAATGCATGGTTATGAATGGTTTTTATTCCAAATTGTATTCAGTTTGATTTGATTAATAGATTTGATGGATTCTCAAATAAAGTTAATAAATATGGTGTCCCTGTGCTTACTTGTACTATTATGGTAACAATGCATGGCTATGAATGGTTTTTATTCCAAATTGTATTCAGTTTAATTTGATTAATGGATTTGATGGATTCTCAAATAAAGTTAATAAATATGGTGTCCCTGTGCTTACTTGTACTATTATGGTAACAATGCAGGCTATGAATGGTTTTTATTCCATATTGTATTCAGTTCGATTTGATTAATGGATTTGATGGATTCTCAAATAAAGTTAATAAATATGGTGTCCCTGTGCTTACTGTTTTTAATCTGATTGTACAATGTCAAACTTAGGGCTGCTAATGCTAATACTCATTCAAACATGTTTTGCCACGAAACTATTTAAATGCCAACACTAGTGAATATCGATGAGGAGAAAAAGCTTTTTGTTGAATATATTAACAATATTTCTCACTCTATTAGTAATTTTATCGTTTATTTTGCTGACAACACCAATCTCAATAAATCATCACTCTTAGAAATTTGTAAAAAAGTTCAGATCGCTATGATATAAGTCAATGGCTGAATGGTAATCTTATTTCTATAAATATCAATAAAAACTGAATTATTTTTACCCTTCAAAAAAAAAAAAGGATTGATATTGTATATTTTCAAATGCATAAGTATCTCAGATTATTTCTTTTCATCTCTGGTTACTTCTTTTCATCTCTGGTTACTTCTTTACATATCAGATTATATTTTTACATCTTCTTTACATCTATTAAAAGACTTAATACAAGTTTTGGATATTACTTGGGATCTTTATTCTTGAGGCACAAAATTTTGCAACTTGTATTTCACATTCAGCATCACTTTTTTTATAAAAGATAGCGTATCTTTTTTTCTAAAGCTTCATTTAGAATTTTTTTTTTTGATATTAATTTGATCTAACCACATAGATGTGTTTGGTTATCAAAAAAACGCTTTTCTAGTATTGTATACTAGACACTAAATTTAAATATCTAATTAACTCTTTAAAAATGCATTTTTAACAAAAAATTAGTACCATCATAGTACTCATAATCAAAACAGGACATACATACTATGGTACAAAATATAATATAGTAACATATTTTATAACTTGCGATATAGGGGGTAGTCACCAAAGAGAGAAATTAAAGACAAATTCTTATAAAAATGAAATTAATAATAGCTTTAATTTTTTTTCCTAAAAATAGTAGAACATTTACTTAGACCTTTTTTTATTATATTTATAAAATACTTTGTATTTTAAAACAATGTTGCCATTTTTTAAATAATATTTGCTGGAAAAAATATTTGTCACTAAGATCACAAATCTTGTATTTAATTTGATAAAATAAATTTTTAAAATTTAAATTCAACAAAAAAATTATAAGTTTTCCATAAATATAATTTAAATTTCATTAAACTTTACAAAATTTTGACTATGTCCATTCTAAACAATTCATGACCATGCCCATTCTAAACAATTTTTCTTTCCAAAAAGTATAAAAATATTTTGAAAACTTTTTTGTTTATTCAACAACAGGACAAAAAAACAATTTTTACTTACATCATGTAATTTCATTTCTTTACCATACATATTTGTCCAATGTCGCTCATACTCTGTGAAATTATTTAGTTCAAATGGTCTGTAAACAAATAAATGGTCTATACACAAATAAATGGTCTATACACAAATAAATGGTCTATACACAAATAAATGGTCTATACACAAATAAATGGTCTATAAACAAATAAATGGTTTATAAACAAATAAATGATCTATATGCAAACAAATGGTCTATACACAAATAAATGGTTTAAGACAATCGAAAACCATTTTCGAAAATTTTTTTGAAAATAGTTTTTGATTTAGTTTTAAAATGTCTTACTTATTTCCAAACCGTGGATACATAACTTTATGAGCAAAAGCAACAGTTGGATTGATACTTCGAACATAAAGTTGAAACCTGAATTCAAACTTTACCCAACAATCTAAGTCTGGTCTGTAGAAAAGTACAGGATCTTTAACATAATGACAACACACCTAACAAAAGGACAGGATCTTTAACATAATGACAACACACCTAACAAAATTTTAAACTAATTTAAACAAAAGCGCATTAAAATTAATAAAAAAGAGTAGAAAACATTTATCCATTTAACCTTTGGACCACTTTCTGATAATCGAATTATCTGATCTAAGTTATTAGTTACAGTGTGACCAATCGATCTTGCTAAGTTCCAAGGTTTGATAATCCAAACATTATATTCGTTTCTAAAGATTAAATGTTTCTGAGTAGCTATAGTAATAAAAAGTAAAGTATAATATTAAAAACAATAAAAAATAAAACAAAAATTTAAATTAAAAATTGAAACAAAATTAAAAACCTAGTTTCTCTTTGTTTAAATTCTTTGATAAACTGTGGCAGTTCTGAATATAAATTAAAAGTCATTGGCAGCCACTTTGGACCTCTGTTTTTTAACATTTCATCAGGGATAACATCATGCTTATATATAGCAAAACATTGCGCAGACTCAGCAAACAAATCTTTTACAGTAAGTACAACTTCATTTGGAAATTGATTAACCATAACATGAGGATTATTGGAAATATATCTAATAATAAAGAAACATAATTAAAAGAAAAAGAAAAAGTTTTGAACAATACAATTATTATAATTCTATATGAATATCATAATAATTGGTTATTCAAATAGTGTAATACAACTATTTGTTTTATTAATTTTAAGATTTATATAGAGTAGAGTTTTGTACTTTGAGTTTTACCTTGGGGTAAACTGCTTTGCTATGTTATCTGTGCACGGCATAACAAATTAACCTGGTTCTTTATTCAAATAAAAAACTTATTAGTTAGGGGTAACTGTAAAGTAACTGTCAACTATTCAATGAGCTTTGAATTCAGTGAGCTTTGCAGCTGAATAGATGCTAAACTATTAAAGGAAAATCTGTCATATGAAACACAACTACTTGGTTTTACTCTTTTATAACCAGAAACACAAAAAGCGAATTGTCTCACATGCACACTGGATTAAGTTGAAGATGGTTTGTTTAGAAATCTTTGTCTTTTAGGTGGTTCAGGGTAAGTTTTTTCTGTAAGATTAATGTACTAAACAAATTTGAGCATTTCAGTTAACATTTTGTTTTGACATTAACTGCGTAACTTTTGCTACAAATTGAATACAACTATATGTTACAAATTAAATGCTCTCTCTCTTTCTCTCTCACTCTCTCTCTCTCTCTCTCTCTCTCTCTCTATATATATATATATATATATATATATATATATATATATATATATATATATATATATATATATATATATGTATCACAAGTATATACATAGCAAATTAAAGTAAATACAAGTGGTTCTTGAGGCTGGTGTCAATAATAATCTGTAAATAGTTTATATATATATATATATATATTATATATATATATATATATATATATATATATATATATATATATATATATATACACACACACAGGGACATATCCAGGTCGATTTTGATACTGATATACCGGTATGGGCCCCCAAATTTTAGCCCAAACTCAATTTAAAACAATTTTATATTAGCATTTGTAATGACATAAATGTCAATTAGAAAAACCAACTTTTGAAAAACGACTTTTAAAACACATTATAAATGTATTTTAAGCCAACCAGAATGCTTATTTTCACATTGATGAAATTGTAAAACGCACGCTTTGATTGGATTAAAATACGAAACGCTTAGCATTTTAAATAACATTTTAAAAATGGTTGAGTTTCTCCTCCACTTACGTTTTCATAACATAATTTTCAAAGCAATTAAACTATATGAGCTTTAAACTTTTTCATTTCAAATAACAGTTAAATTGTATTAAAAAATTTTTTAATTATAAAACAAAGAAAAAATTTTAAAACATAATAACATTATAATAATCGCACCAAAAAATTTGATTTGAAAAGTAAGAGTAGAACTAGAAAAAAAAAGTTATTAATTTTTGAATGAAGTAAATAAAATTTCGAATGAATTGACCTTGTTATGCAATAAATACGCTATGTAATAAATCTAATGTAAAAAAGTTTATATAAAAGAAACATACAAATATTGTTTATTAAATGTTATAGCTATTGCTTGCAGGGCCGCCGAAAGAGAGAGAGAGAGGGGGGGGGGGCACTGGGACAGTGCCCCTCCCCTCTCTCTTTAGGCAGCCCTATAGGGAAATAGGGAAAATTAGATAAATAAGGGTGCCAATCAAGATAGCTGTCCCAGGCGATGTGACAGCTCTTGGCGGCCTTGATCGCTTGCTTATGAAATCATACTCTTTATATTTATAACTATTAATATTAAATATTTTTAATTAAATAATTTAATTTAATAATTTTAATTCAATAACTTAATATTAATTATAATTTATAATTAGTAAGCGAATAAAGTAAATGAAAAACAGCGGGAAATCGATGTTGGAGTTGAACCCATCATTTTGTTATAAATGTAACATTATATTTTTTAAATACTTAAATTTTTATTAAAAAAAACATAAAGTACTAGTGTGAGTTATATTATATATAAATAATTATATTTAAATTTGTGTTTAAAAAAAAAAAAAAAAGGGTCCTCTTAAGGTAGACAGGATTTTTAGATCGGTATACCCCAAAAATTTCTGGATATGTTACTGATATATATATACATTAATTTTTGTTTTTTCTTTTTCTGAAAATTTAAAGTACCCATTTTAAAAATTAAAATTATTTTCCTAACATATTTAAAAGTATATTAGGAAATTACAAATTACTATCTGTTGTATATACATACATAAAAAAAATATAAACATACTCAAAATCTTTAAAATGATCAACTGAATAGATAATATCAGCATTTTTCATATCATCTACAAACTCAAAACGTGGATCAGTCAAATGCTCAATACTAAATTTATCATTTGTCCAGACCTTATAAACACTTCTTGGTGTTGAATCTTTTATTTCTAAATATTTTTACAATAAACAATAGATATAGAAGATTAAGAAAGCAGAGGAAACAAATTTAAAAAAAAAAAAGTTTGAAGAAAGTGATCATATAAATATGGGTATATAAAATGCCATATTTATATGATCACTTATATATTATAAGTGATCATATAAATATGGGTATATAAACATTTTACTACAAAATTATACAAAAAAATAAATATATATATAATTATACAACTTAAGATTTTGTATTAATTGAAGTATTTAATTTAACATATAAAGAACAAGGTACATTTAAGTTTTCTAAAAACAATTAAAAGACTAAAGAAGAATTATTATAATTAAAGAATAAAAATCACAGATATGCTACGTTTAAGATTTAGAAAAAAATGAATAATAATAAAAAAAAAATTTTAAAAAGCAGTAGAACATTTTTTTTTCATTATAACTTTATTCAATAATTTCTTCAAATGTGTCAATAAAGTATTTTAAAAAAAACAATCATTTGAAGAAGCTACTAACCATTTATTATCTTTAAAATAAAATGGTATAGAACAGCATTACTTCAATTCTTTAAATTTGTTTAAAACCGTTTTTTATATATTCAATTATTTATTTATTCTTTCTTTTGTAAGCAATAATAACAGATATTTCAGCTATATCATAAATTAAAAAATTTCAAAAACAATTTTATGAACTAGTTAAATTTTGCGATAGAGAATTGCAATTTTTTAAATTTAAAAATTTTTATTTTAAAAAGTATATTGGAAAAAAATTATGAAAAAAACACTCTTAATACCTTCCCCATTGTAATTAGATAATTTTTCATCACATCGACAACTTTGTTCTAAGGAGTTGCTAAGCAACTTTTCAATCCATTGATCTTTAACATTGTCAATGTTAAGTCTATCTTTAAACCATGGATACAATCGTGCATCTCTGTATTCAGGGGTTTTTGCATCAGGTGCAAAGTCTCTGGTCACTTCGTCTAAAATAATATTCACAAAACTACATTATTTCATTACTTAAAAGTCACTAAATATTATTTTACTTTTAAAAAAAAATGATCAGTTTAGCAAATTCAAAAAAAATGACATTAAAAAAATCCTTAACATTAAGCTTTAATTTAAACATTTAAGTTTAATTATGCAATATACAAGTTTAAATACACAATATTTGATTTTATAGCCTATGTAAATTGCTTAAGTATATTTAATAAGAAAAATTATTAACAAAAAATTAATGTTAGTTTGAAAAGAAGAGGCCTAATTTGATATACTTGATATATGAAACTTTTTTTTTAACTAATATTGAAACCCACTATGAACTCTAATATATGAATCTTAATATTATATTAAACTCTATATGTATTCAAGGTTTTAACAATGTTTGGGTTTATAGTTTTCTTCTAGTTTATGCTGAGTTTATTTATGACTTTATTTTTTATACTTTTAATATTTTTCTTTTTTTAATGTTAATTCACCTGAATGAAGGCTACTATAGTTGAGGAGGCAATTTTAATTATGGTTACAATCTTATAGCCTCTCAACTTTATAACTGCAAAACACGAACCTTGACAAACAAGGCTGCTGCACAAAGAAACAAGTTGAGGGTGGTACTACCAGGAATGCAGCTGGGAACAAACTTTTTTTGGAAACTTTCTCAGTTTTTAGGTGAGTTCTTATAATGCCATTTTCTTGCCAATTTCCAAGCATTAACCTGTTTTGCAGATTAAGACTAAGTAATTTTATGATGATACTACCACTAGATGAATTACCATCCAAGGTAATCCAAATTACCATCACAATGGTAATTTGGATGGTAAACCCAAATTACCATCACAATTAAATTATATGTTAAAGTTTTCCGAGATAAGTTACTTTCACCAATACTAAGGAGTATCATACAGAATACTATATACTTAATACATTACTTTATACAGAATACTATATATAATTACTAAATACAGAATTTGACTGGATTTAGGATTTCTATAAAATTTGTTCAAAAAAAAACAACCTTTTTTTTTCGATCTGATAAAATCTTTTTACAACCTGTACATTAAATTACAATTGCAACCATCAACTTCAACTACAACCTTCAATTACAACTACAACCTTCAATTACAACTACAACATTCAATTACAACTACAACCTTCAATTACAACTACAACCTACAAATACAACTACAACCTTTAATTACAACTACAACTTTCAATTACAACTACAACCTTCAATTACAACTACAACATTCAATTACAACTACAACCTTCAATTACAACTACAACCTTCAATTACAACTACAACATTCAATTACAACTACAACCTTCAATTACAACTACAACCTTCAATTACAACTACAACCTTCAATTACAATTACAACTTTTAATTACAACTACAACCTTCAATTACAACTACAATCTTCAATTACAACTACCACATTCAATTACAACTACAACCTTCAATTACAACTACAACCTTCAATTACAACTACAACTTTCAATTACAACTACAACCTTTAACTATAATCCATAAATACAACCTGAATATTACAAATGCAACTTATAACTACAACCTTAAATTACAACAACCTACAACTCCAACCATTAACTACAACATACAATTACAACATACAATTCAGAACATACAACTGCAACATGTGACTAAAACTATAGACTACAACTACTATAAGCTACAAAAAAAAAAAAAAAAGAAATAAAAAAAAAAATACATTTAAACAGTTCTCATAGAAACATTTACTAAAATAAGTTTTTAATATTATAAAAAGAAAAAAAAAGCCATTTTAAAACAGCAACTATATATAAAAATGTAACAATAACTGTTAAATATGTGTTATATGAAACTTATGATTTTGCAAATGAGAATGCATATAATATAGTGGCAAGAAGTTACAAAAATAATAAAAAATATACAAAATAACCATCAAGACAACAATTTATAGAGAAAGCAAAAAACAATAACAATATAGCTAGAGAAGTGACCCGCTAGCAAAAATTAAAAACACAGCCTATCTATTGCAATAAAAATTTGGTTAAAATTTATCAAAATTATATTTAATAATTTAATTAATTAGCCATTTAATAAAACCTGTTTGTATCTTTTAAAAATGTACCAACTATTAATTGTAGGAATTCTATTTAATTTTATTAGGAACTATATTAATACACCTTAATTGTTAAATCTCTAACTTATACTTCCTTTAACTTATTTTTTTATCACTTAAAAACTTAATAACTACAAATATTTATTACTTTGAGGTTGGCGCTCCAATATATTATGCTGATTTTAATCCACCTTTTGAAAATAAGAAAAGGAAAAGAACAATTATGGAAAAATTAAATTATAACTAATACCCTTCATTTAAAGATATTGCCTGCCCAAACCTAAACCCCTAGATGTACTGAAAATCAAATTATGGGTATCAACAATCATTTTTGAGTACAGTAATATCTTATTACTAAAAAGATTTGTAATAACAAAAACTTCACAAAAAATATTTAATATAAAACAAAACATATAATAAAAATGTACCTCCACATAAAAGATCTTTAATAGGAAAGATAACCATATAGGATGTTGCTGTGTTTTGAAAATAAAAAAAACGAAATGCAAAACTTGGATCATCAGAATGTCTAACACGTGAACCGAATTCATCCATTACAAACCAAAGTGGAACATAATCTTTGTCATCGTCCATGGTTATTTCAGTCTGTTAAAAAATAAACTAAAAATTTAAAACAAAATAAAAAGTACAATGAAAAAGAAATATAAAATGACTTATAAAGGTATGGGGCTTCTACAATAAAAAAAATAACAAAGTGGGTAAAAAGAAGGAAAAAAAGAATATATTCTAAACTAAACAAATAAGACTGCATATAAATTTTTTAATATACCAAAGTTCAAAAACAGAATACGAAGAAGCACTTAAACAAAACGGTTTTAAAAACTTTAACTTAAAGTACAACCCAAAAAATAAGACACCTCCCAAAAGAAAAAGAAATATAATTTGGTTTAACCCACCCTACAATAAAAGCGTCTCCACTAATGTTGGCCAAATCTTTTTGCAATTAATAGATAAACATTTCCCACCTTCAAATCCATTACATAAACTATTCAATCGAAACACTACAAAAGTTAGCTACAGCTGCTCAAACAACATTTCAAAAATTATAAAAAGCCACAACAAAAAAATAAATTTAATTAACACCACTGAAAATCTCCCTTGCAATTGCAAGCAAAAAGAAATCTGCCCGCTGAATAAAAATTGTAGAACGACAAACATCATTTACAAATGTATAACATCTTCGCCAAACACTCCCAGCAAAGCATACATTGGTTTATCAGAAGGAGTGTGGAAAAAGAGGTATGCAAACCACAAGCAATCATTTTCAAATAAGAAACTTTCAAATGCAACCACTCTCTCAAAACATATATGGGAAACTTGAGAAAAACTGAAAGAAACAACAGAATTAACTTGGTCTATCCTGAAAAAAGCCCCCGCCTACAACAATGAAACAAAAAAATGTTTACTATGTTTATATGAAAAACTGATTATTTTGCTTTATAAAAATGCTGAAGAGCTACTCAATAAAAAAACAGAGTTAATCTCCAAGTGTCGTCACGAAAATAAATTTCTATTGAGCAACCACAAACCTGAAGATTAAATACACGCGGTCGTAACAATAAAAAAAAGTTTTTTCTGTATAGTTTTAATTGTATATAATTTTTAAACGAACAAACTATATTTGTATTTCACCTGATGATTGCAACAGCATGAAACTTAAAGTTGTGAAAATCACATAGTTTTATTTTCTACTATATATATATTATAGCTCTGACTTTAGTTTATCGAGCACTTTCTTGATAGTATATGCACAAAATAGCATCACTACATATATATATATATATATATATATATATATATATATATATATATATATATATATATATATATATATATATATATATATATATATATATATATATATATACATACAGTGAGCAAAAAAATTATCTGTCCACACATCAAATTAAAAGAAAAAATTCAATAAAAAAATTAATATTCAAAATAAAACGAAAAAACAAAAAATTAAATAATCTAAAAAATAACAAAAAATAGATATTATATCAATTATGCAACATTTTATTGAAACATACAAAGATCAATGCAAAAAAATTATCCGTCCAGAACAAAAAAATTATCCGTCCAGAACAAAAAAATTTATTCTAAAAATTAATTTTATTTTAATTAGTATTTTGTCGGCCCTCCCTTTGCTTTAACGCCTATGCATAGAATTAACTAAATTTTCTGTTACATCACAGCCAACTCCCTCCCATGCCTCCCGTATTATACTTTTCAATTTATTTTGTTTGATGGGTTCTATTTTGAATTTTTCTTTCTAAAATAGCCCATAAATGTTCAATTGGGTTTAAATCCGGAGATTGAGCAACCCATTCTAATTATTTATGCCACTTTCAGCCAAAAAAGCGGTAATCGAACGCACTGTATGCTTGAGATCGTTGTCTTGTTAGAACAAGACATCGCCTCCCAAGCCCAATTTATTGCGTGATGGCCCTATATTATCACTAGTCATATATACATTCTTTCATCAATAAATTGTAAAGTTCCCAATTCCACAGCATTCATGCACCCCCACATCATCACATTGCCACCACCGTGTTTGACATTTTGTTTCAAACACATTACTTTAAGTTCTTCTTTCGGCGTTCTCCACACTTTCCCTACTCCATCACACCCGAACATGTTAAATTTACTTTCATCCGACCATAGGACGCTATTCCAAAAGTTTTTAGGGCGATCCACATACTTTTTAGCCCATTTTAGATACAACTTTCTATTTTTGTTGCTGATGAAAGCTTGTGGTGTTTGTCCATGTAAATTTGATTCATGGAGGCGATTCCGGACAGTTTGTGGAGTAATTTCGACTCCTTTTTCTTCTTTCAGGTCATTTGAGACTTTCACCGCCAATAATTTTCTTTTGACGCATCCCACCATTTCCCGGTCAGTTATTTCATCCATTTTTCTCTTTCTTCCTCTCCCTTCGATATTAGTTATTTTTCTGGTGCTTTTGAACTTATTAATAATGTATGGCACCAATGTTCTTGGCATTTTCAATATTCCTGCAATTCCTCGTTGACTTTTCCTATCTCGATGAAGCGTTTAAACATTCGAACGGAGGTCATCCGAATATTCGCTGGTTTTTCTGTTTGGCGTAGAAATATTTCCATTTTTCTAAATTTGTAATAAAAATAATATAATAATAATAACAATAATAATAATACATATAATATTCAATGTTTGAAACATATTAATTAAATAAACTTACCTTAATTTAATTTTAAATTAAGTGGACGGATAATTTTTTTGCTTACTATCTGTTTAATTTTTATTTTTATTGATTTTTTTTTTTTAATTATATTTTGCGAAAATAGTGATATATGTTATTTTAAAGCTTATTTTTTGCTCTATCTGTTGGTATTTATTTCAATTTTTATTTTTTTAAAGAAAAGAAATATTTGATAAAATTCAATTCCTGAATAGACAGATAATTTTTTTGCTCACTGTATATATATATATATATATATATATATATATATATATATATATATATATATATATATATATATATATATATATATATATATATATATATATATATATATATATATGAAAATAGGTGTATATACATATACACAAATAAAAATACGCATGGATGTGAATAAATACATACACTTTTGGATTTATTTTAGCAGTTTACTTGTGCATAAACACGCACTTACTTTTGCATATTTAAGTTTAATTTGTTTTAATATATTTAAATCCACAAACTATAGCAGATTTACATATATTAGAAAAGACATGTCCTGTACGTATAATTTGAAGTTTAATTTAAAATTTGATTAAATAAAAAATTTATTAGACAAAGAAGTTTTATTACATTTCTATTTTTAGAGACATTAGAATTTTTCCCTTTGCTTATCTTGTAAATTTTAATTATTTTTATTTTTTGTTTTGTAGTTTTTTGTCAACAATTAAAGAGCCATGAAACTTAAAGTTTTATGTTCAATAAATTATCTCAAATAAATTATTATTAAATTAAATAACTATAATAGTTCTTGAATTATGTAATTAATAATTATAATCAGTAATAAATAATAATTATAACCAGTAATAATAACTATAATAATAATACCTACAATGTGCTATAAATAATATGGCTAAGGAATATTTAATAAAAGCTCCTACAAAATCAAATCAAATATGTTTTATTTATTTTAAACATAACAAGTCACATAATAATTCAAAGAATTCACCTTGGTCTTTTTCATTGTATATGTCATGTTATATCTAAAAGGAAATTTTTTGAATTAGCCTCACAAGATCCTAATATATATATATATATATATATATATATATATATATATATATATATATATATATATATATATATATATATATATATATATATATATATATATATATATATCTTCCATCAGCATTAAATATTTAAATGATGACAGACCTCAATTGTTCTTCACAACTTGAATTAAGTGATTTGATCCGAGATCTAAAGCTGATTAAAGATCATAGTGCAAGCGTCAAGATTAAAAGAAAACTTGTTACAAAAAAGTGTTAAAATACCACTTTATCGTAAACATTTACAAAAGGTTTTTTTCAAATAGAAAATGTTCAAATCAAAATGTTTCAAATCAAAATGGAAAATTTTATTGCTGTGACATTGACGCTTTATTTCAATTCTTTGAACAGAAACAAAATTCTACTGAACAGAAACAAAATTCTACTAAACAGAAACACAATTCTACTAAACAGAAACACAATCCCACTAAACAGGAACAAAATTCTACTAAATGGGACCTTTTAATTGATGCCTTAAAAACAAGTGTCAAAGCTAAATATTGACATATCAGCAATTAGCTACCATCTGTCCCGGTTTGCATATTTAATGATCATGCGAGAAACCTGCAAAAATCTGAGTTGCTTATTATTCTGAAGTATAATAAGCATCAGTGGTGATCTAAAAGTTGTTGCAACTGGACAACAAGCACCATACAAACACACTAAGTTCAACAAATACACTAAGTTCTATTGTTTCCTTTGCCTTTGGGATTCACGAGCAAGACAGCCATTACAAAGAGAAAGTATTACGTAAGCGAGATGAATTAACAGTTAGACTAAAGAATAATGCTAATCCTCCACTGAATTTTGAAACTCTAATAAAGAATATGATGCAAAGCTATGAAAGCCTAGGCTGTAATATGTCACTCAAACTTCACTTGATGGATTCTCATCTGAATTTTTTCCCTGAAAACACGTGTGATGTATCTGATGAGTATAATGAATGATTTCATTAAGAAATCAGTGAGATGGAAGGTTGTTATAAAGAAAACCTTCACCTTCATTACTTGCTGAATACTGCTAGACTTTTTTTAACGTTTAACCTGTAAATTAAAATATTCAGGTTAGACATTAAAACAAATGCCAAATTTGAATTTCGCACCCGAAAATTAACAAAGTACAAATGAAACTGTTTTCGTAAAAAAAAATTTCATCAAATTTTGTTGGTCAGTGTAAATAGATTAATAAAAATCAAATAAAACAACTTATGTAATTATTAATTATTAACAACAATATAATTAAATAATTACTTCCACATTTTATTGATAACAGCTTTAATAAGTTCTTGACCATCAGCTAAAAAAACATAAATAATATTTTTTGATGTAAAAAAACAAAAAAATCATAATACATAAAATAATATTTTGAAAAATAACACAGGCTAACAAAAATTTTTTTTTCTGTTGCCAAACAAACAATACATTTTTCATATAGCATTCCTCATTTCGATTTTAGATATGCAACCTATTTTTAACCATCATGTCAAGTTAAAAATACTTTACATTTTATTACTGAAAATATTTTAATAAAATTGTTTAAAGTCTAGCATTTTTTCCCCAATATTTTTTTGTTAATAAATTTTTAATATATATATACATATATATATATATATATATATATATATATATATATATATATATATATATATATATATATATATATATATATATATATATATATATATATATATATATATATATATTTTGCTCTTTTTGAAACTAATTTTAAAACACTTTTAAATAATTTTTTTTACAATATTAGAAATTTTACCAAAAATGCTATGATTTTAACCCAAAAAACAAACAAACACTGTTGAACCTATAACTGACCCCCCATGATTTTTTACAAAATTCACAAACACTATAACTCACTATCAAATTCATTTCTAGGAATATCCATTAAACTAGCCATTCTTTCCAAAAGTGTTGGGTAGTTTTGCAACTGAGCTTCTGCATAATTTGCTTCATAAGTCCATGCATGATCCACAAGAAATATACTGAAAAAAAAAGAAAATAAAAATTATTTAAACAATTAACTCTTTAAATAAATTATTATATTATTTAAAAAATAGATAGATATATTTACTAGTAATTAAATTTTTCTTAATTAGAAAATTTTTTCAGAAAATGATTCAATAGTAGGAATATAAATTATTTTTTAAATCTAAAAAAAATCTACAGAACATATTTAACAACTAACAAATAATCTAAAAGATCTAAATATAAATAGACCTTTGAAAAAAGAGTTATCAGAAAAATTAGTTAATTAACATAATTAACATAATTAATTATTAATTAATTAACATAATTAATAATTGATTATCTGAAATCAGACTAACAAGAGCAAATTATTTGGTGAAACACCAAAGTACTTATCAGAAGAATTTTTTTTGTAAAAAAATAAAAAAAAAGATGAACCTCTCCGGATTATCTTTTTGAATACCATCTTCTGATGATACAAGAACTTTCCAAATAATATTGTCTTGGACTGGCTTGTCTGTATTATTATATTCAATCAACTCATTATTTTCATCATTATGTTCATTTTTTTCTTGTATAATCTTTTCATCTTCAGCTGTCTCGTTTACATCTTCAGCTGTCTCATTTACATCTTCAGCTGTCTCATTTACATCTTCAGCTGTCTCATTTACATCTTCATCAACTTGAAATAAAGAAAAATACTCTCCAGCATCAAAAGTCTAAAAAAAAATGTTACTTGTCTTAAAATTTTTTTTTTTAATTTAAGAAAATGATTAAATTTTATGAGTAAAAATAAAACAACAATTGTAATGATTGCCACACAACCAATGTCCATTAAACAATCATTAATGATTGCTTCACACGCAACATCGTTTGGATAAAATATAAACCCTACTACATAATATCATTATTGCAAATAACATAAAAAATAGTCAAACCTAGCTACTTTGGATACTCGTAATACTCTTTTTAGACAATTATTTATGATTGAGAAACTATTTTCATGGAGACAAAATCCGCACAAAAAATTTGCATATGAATTGAATAAAAAGCTGTAGTGTTAAATTGACAATAGTCAAGATACGAGAAATTGCAAACAGTTTCACAGTATATAATTAAAATATAATAATATATTTAACTTATAATATGTAAATAAAATTGAACAATTCAATAACAATAAAAAATATAACAAGAATAATACTACTAATAAATATTATATAATATTATAAAACAACAGTATTAATAAAAATAACTCCAATAATTAAGATTAATTATCTTTTAAAAAGAGATAAAATGCAAATTATATCTATTTTTCAAAAATAATTAGACAGCTACATTGGTTGCTTTTTTAAAAAGATTTTACTTTTTAGGTTTATTTAACCTCTGCACTTGATTTACACAAAGGTGCAGAAAATATGTTTATTGATAACAACTGACATGATTTTTGCTTAATGTACATTTTTTATTTTGTATTATTATTTAGTAATTGATTTTTTTGTAAATTTCAATAATGTATTTTTTTTTTTAAATCTACTGTTCAAAGTTAAACACATTTAAATGTTCAATGACACAAGGCATTCTATGCAAGATTGTTAGTGTGCTTCTCTCCCATCCTAGTTTAGAAAAAAAAAAGTGGGTTATTAAACCAATAATTATTTTTGTTGCAATCTGCTACACTTTACACAAAGATACACACACTATAAAAAAAACAACCATTTACAAACTACTCTAGCAGGATAGTTATGAGGTAGAAAAAGACAATTTGCCATTACGAGCATACAAAAAGAGCTAAAGAATGATCATGATGACTGGTACTTTTGTATGATTGATATTACAAGTACAGAAAAGCAAAAGGGAGACAAGTTCTAGAATATTCAGATATACCATCATCTGAAGCACCTCTCTGATATTATGTCAGTCTACCGGTGCCACATTTATTACAAAGTGCAAGCCTTCCCCGTAAACGTGTCGCTTGCCTTGTTCGTCCATGTTTAAAGTAATTTTTTTAAACAACTTGACCATGTTTTTAGAATAAGCCTTTTTAGAATTTGCGGCAAAATAAACCTATAAGAAACTACAGAAAATAAAACAACAATACTCATAGAAAGAAAACAAATACAATATGAAATAGAATATCTAAAAAAACTAAAAAAAATTTAAAATTAAAAAAAAAATTTGTCAAAAATAAAATATACTTAAATATTTTGCTGTTTTTGTTTTCTTTTTAGAGCATTTGCTTTTTTCCACTGCCAAATTTAATAGAAGTCAAGAAAGAAAGCAGATAAAAATATAATGAAAACAAAAACATTTTTTGATATACAATTTATTTGTGACTTTTGTCAGTCAGTATATTAAGGAAATACTTTATTATTATATAAATACTTATTAGCGCTAAAAATAAGGACAGTTTTTAAATTTGTTTTTTAAATGTTTTTGTTAAACTTTACTGTTTTTTTTAATGCACAGGAAAACTAGTTGCTATTTATTTGTAAAATATATATTTTTTATTTTTCAACAAGTTTTTATGTAAAATAATAAAAAATCATTAATGTTCAAATATAAAATATTTTGTTGTTTTCACTACTCCCATTGAAATAGTGTACACTTTTGTTGGATTCTCCAAATTGTGCACTTTTGTTGGATTCTCCAAAATTAAATCTATTGTTTATTTCCTGAAAAACCTTTGTTCTTGATGCTCAAAAATCTGCATTGTTGTATTACTGAACTTTTAGGAAACAAATTAAAAAATTTTATTTAACTTTTAAAATACATTTTTTAAAACAGATCAACCTTTATGTTCATTATTTCTAGTAATTCGCTTTAAGGTTAAAAATTAGGCAATATAAAGGAAACAATTTCAGACAAGCATTAAATATTGTAAATACATTTAAAAAATAAACCATGGTATTCTTTTATTTATCTTTCGTCATTACAGAATTTATTAATCAAGAAATATATTTTACAAAGAAAAACTTAATTTTTTTTTCTCTATTATTTAAGTATTGAAAAAAAAAAAAAAAAAAAAAAAAAAAAAAAAATAGAATGCTTCAACGTAAACATTAAATATAAAGGAGTTTAGTTTTGATCTGAAACTTTTTAAAAACAAATATTTTTTCAAAAATCTTTTACTTTTAAAAGACTCCTTAAAAAAAATAATAAACACAATGAAAATATTTCCTTTAATACTTTTAGAAATCCACTAAATGTTGTAGTTGGAACATCAGCTAAAACAATTTAAAAAAATTTCAATAAAAAAAGTTTTATTTTGATATCAGAAAGACCCTGTACACAAAAGAAACTGTAACATACTCCGACCTCTGATGTTAGAGGATATTATATATATATTTGTACTTTTTTTTTGTAATACTAATTCATTCCGAACAAGGCTGCAAGAAACCACTATTAAGTTGGGAGTTACTGAAAAACAAAGAATAGAGTTAAAGAAAAAGGAAATGGTTAACAGAACACTCGAAAAAGTAAAGGTTGTATGAGTCAGGAAAAAATGAAGATGGGAGATAGTTCCAAACCATTGAAATGTGAGGGAAAAAAAAAGGTTTTTAGAGCATAAAGGGACAGATACAGGATAAAGATTGTGACTGCTGAATTATAAGCAAGAAAAAGATTTACTTGATGGAGCTTTCTCTTTACTTATTATTTCTCTTTTTTTAGAATTTATAGAAAAAAGAAAGTGATGCAATAATATCACAATTGAGAGTAGCTCAAGTTTAACAATCTGTCAAACTTGAGCTATTCTCTGTAGCTTAAGTCTAGAAGAGAAAGAGCATCATTGGGAGAATCAGCACAAATAAGACAACAGTATTCCATACAAGGGATGAATAAGAGACTTATATAGGTAGAGAATGAAATTTTGAGTAAGTAAGTATTTTGAGTAACAGATGCTAACTTTGCAATTGTATCTATGGTTTCTATGAAAGTTCAGTAGTGAACAATAATCCAATAGGATGTAAAAAAGAGGACTCAGTAAGAGTCTTGCCTTTAATTAGTATAGGAATGTTGATAGTGCTGCAATGGTTGTTTGCAGTTAATAACTTTTGTTGGAGTTAAAATTCACAAGCCATTGCAAGCTCCAATCTATTACAGAAGTGAGATCAGGTTCAAGATTGGCTGCCCTTCACAATTAGCTTGGTTTGTTTGACCTTTCATAGAAACCATAGATACAATTGCAAAGTTAGCATCTGTTAAAGTTGCTCGCAATTATCTCACTCAAAATTTCATTCTCTACCTATATAAGTCTCTTATACCTTAGTAGATGCTAATTTAGCAATCGATTATTTATATGATTTCCATGAAATACCAGTGGTGAATGATAATCTAAGAAGACATAAAGAGGCCTCAGTGAATGGGTTGCCATTCATTAATATAGAAATATTAGCAATACTGTGATAAATATGTGCATTATTAGGATTGTTGGAGTTAAAATTCACAATGAATAATTTACTTAGTTAAAAGTAAAAAAACAATTTTTGTTGTGTCTTCTTTGACGATTCTCAAAAAAAGTATGATTAATGTATTAAAAGTAACCTACCTCGTTACTTAATTTTTTAAACAGAGTAAACCAATATAGTCGAGGAACATTTTGATCTAACTGATTTCTGTGATTCTCAATAAAAGTTTCATAAGATCCAAAATTCTCGTCTTTCATTGTATTGTAAAAGAAACTAACTATACACTGATTGTGTATCAAGTAAAATGTATTTTCCACGTGTTTTTCTCTTCAAGCGTTAGACAACAAATAACAACGGTAAGTACATGATTCCATAGCGTAAAGTTAGGTCCCGTAAAATGTTCCGCAATTGTCCCGCTTCACGTCCAGGACAGAGTTAGCATAATTAATTTTTGCATTTATAATTTAATTTATGAAATAATTAATATTCTTTAAATGTGGAGCACGTTTTCACCTGGTTATCGTCGAAGATTAAATTTAAATACACCTCTTCACAGTTTCGATAATTTCGTGCGCGCGCATTTTTAAATAGTTTGTTATTGTTCATTGTGCGCAGAATCGCATGAAAGAGTTTGATTTGTACTAATAAACTACAGAAGAAAGTCATTTATTTTAGTTAGTTTTTACTATTTTTAATTGTTTTAAACATGAAACCTCAAAGTTTGAAAAGAAAACGATCAATGGGATGTGCTGTATTTGATTGCAGCAGTAGCCAATATAATCTTGAGCTTTGGCGCAATGAATTTTGTGAGTTACACAAGGTCTTAAGAAGCAGTTTGACTTGCAGATGTTCGGAACCTTACAAGTATGTATACTACATATAATGTTATTTATCTAAAATTTAAACATCTGGCTAAACATGTATAAAGTGAATTAATGAATTAATGTTACATATTATGTGTAGACATTATGGAATAGGGGTATATAGTACCTATAATAATGTAATAATATCTGTATATAATAATATTATACACAGATATTATTAATATCTTCCTACAACATGTATAAAGTGAATTATATGTTACATATTATGTGTAGACATTATGGAATAGGGGTATATAGTAACTAAATAATAATGTAGGAAGATATTAATAATATCTGTATATAATAATATTATATACATATGTTATTAATATCTTCCTACATTATTATTTAGGTACTATATACCCCTATTCCATAATGTCTACACATAATATGTAACATTAATTCATTAATTCACTTTATACATGTTTAGCCAGATGTTTAAATTTTAGATAAATAACATTATATGTAGTATACATACTTGTAAGGTTCCGAACATCTGCAAGTCAAACTGCTTCTTAAGACCTTGTGTAACTCACAAAATTCATTGCGCCAAAGCTCAAGATTATATTGGCTACTGCTGCAATCAAATACAGCACATCCCATTGATCGTTTTCTTTTCAAACTTTGAGGTTTCATGTTTAAAACAATTAAAAATAGTAAAAACTAACTAAAATAAATGACTTTCTTCTGTAGTTTATTAGTACAAATCAAACTCTTTCATGCGATTCTGCGCACAATGAACAATAACAAACTATTTAAAAATGCGCGCGCACGAAATTATCGAAACTGTGAAGAGGTGTATTGGTAAAAAAATTATTATTATATATAGATAATAATAATTTAAATTTATTAGAAAAAACAACATTGAGTAGAGGTAATACAAGACATTTTAACTTTTTTAGACAAAATATTTTAAATTTTGAATATAAAAAGCTTAAGTTAATGTTTGTTTTACTACTCGTTTAAAAACATTTCTCAGGAATGACATCCCTGAGAAATTTAAAAATTTAAAAACATTCCGAATGTTTTTAAACGATTAATATAATATGAGCTTTTTATATTCATAATTTAAAATATTTTGTCTAAAAAGGAATTTCCTCTACAAGCACGCTTTAAATGAAGTATCAATTTCCACGTTTGTATGGTTGTTACTGTTTAAATTTTTTTAGTTGTTATTTCTCAAGAAGGAAGTTGGGTTACTGTAGAAACATACGTTGAAGTACTTTTTTTGATACATAGCTACGAAACAGAGGCTATATCAAAGTTTTCATGATTTAGTGGCACTATAGCATGATTCATGCTATAGTGTATCAAAGTTTTCATGCCATGAAAACTTTGATACAGCCTCTGTTTCGTAGCTATGTATCAAAAAAAGTACTTCAACGTATGTTTCTACAGTAACCCAACTTCCTTCTTTCCTTTCCTTTAGCAGCACTATTAGTGCTGCTAAAAACTGGAAATATGATATGACAATTTTAATTAAGTGTTTTTAAAATGCAATTGCTAAATTTTAATTTTCTTTTATATTTGTATAGTTATTATTTAAAATTTTTGTTGTTGTTGTTATCTTTAAAGATTCTTCTGCAAAACACCACAAAATAAGATGATTCAATATCATTTAATGGTACTCCCTTTATGGTTTTAGGATGTAAAGTGCTTGATTGTATGCACGGGAATGATAGAAAAGCCTCTTCTAAAGAATTTTATAAAATTCATTTATTATTATAATATGTTTTTCTTTATCAATTTGTTTCTAAAATAGCTCCTGTATTTAATGATTATATGTCTAAACCTTTTATTTTTGTTCTTTTGTCTAATTTTCTTAATAGGTATCAGATCACAGTTTTTCAAAAAGCTATTTGCTATATCTAAATTTCTTGGTCACCAAGAAATTTAACTGTAGTTTTCAAATAAAAATTTAGAAAATTTAAAAGTTCCCAAGTTTTAAGGTTTTATTTCATTGTTTGTTTAATTTATATTATTGAAATGAGATTTAAGTCAGTCCTATATTAACTATTCAAGACATACATGCATCAACTTAAAATATAACCAATTAATTTATGCTAGTTCTTTTTAAAATAAACTTTGTTTTAGATTGCTGAGGATACTAAATTTAGAAGAGTGCAATTCTCAAACCGTATTAAAGATGCTTTGTCAAGAATAAAGTAGTAAGGGAAAGAGTGTTTCCAGTTTGCTTTCCTTCAAAAAGTTCTCATACTGGTCATTTTACTAGAGATGTAAGATTTCTTTTTTTTTGTGTAGATAAAGTTAAACAATAGATTTTTAAAAGAAAAAAAACATTAAAGAGTTATCCAAATTAATTTTAATTTCTTGTTTGCCTGTTTTAAACATCCTAAAGTTAGTTTATTATTTCAAACATGTTATTTAACTTGTTTTGTCATATAACATTTATTAAATTTTAACATTTATATTAATATGTTTCCATTTATTTAAACCAACAATAAGGTTGTAGTAAATCTTAATTGCTATTTTTATTGCTGTTGTTTAGGAGCTTTAGATTTAATATTGTTTAAAATATGTATAAACTTTCTTGTGTTCAGTATATATAGTATATCATATTTAGTATCTTGATCCAGATTACTTAAGGCCTTAAATTTAAATGCCTGCTCCTACTGATGGTTTTGTTATATACTCGGTATGTTCTTGTACTATTCCTAATATATGTAATATTGTTCATACAAACTTCAATATTTTCACCAGGGGTGGGTTTTGTCACTCACCAAGGAGGTGGCTAAAATGGTTTTAAAAAAAAAAGGTCCGCATTTTTTCACTTAAAAGTGACTTTCTTTAACTTTTTGTACTTTAGTGTAATAATTAAGTTCATATATGTATAATTACCTATAATAGTCAATTACCTATAATAGTCAATCCCAATGGGGGGCGGGGGCAACTACCCCCATGCCCACTCTAAAATTCGCCACTGATTTTCACAGTCTGCTGAAGCTATTAAGTGTATCAATGAAGAGAACTGATCTATCAATCATTTTTACTAGCAATCAATAAAATATCTCATTGGAAGTAGGAAGAAGGAAGCTTGTACTATTGTAAAATAAAATAATATCTGTTTCTGTAGCATTATATATATTAAAGTGTACTTTATTTTAGATCAAATTGCATGATTTCACATTTATCTTTATTAAAACTGATTAGCCTTTTTTTTTTCCAGTTAAATAAGATGTCAAGATCAAACTGTGTAGAGTGATTTATTAATTTTTTTTCTAATTGAGTTATTTTCTAAATTTTCAAAATATTTTCAAAAATTTCAAATACTTCTTGGAATATGCATCTTAAATACGGAATTCATATTTTAATAAAGATATAAATTTTATCGAAAAAATCCAACAAAAAGCCGCAAAAATTGGCTACAAAAGAAAGGGAGCAAGTTACGAGCAAAGATTAAAAGAAATGGGCTTACAAAATCTATCAAATAGAAGAGAAAACAGCGATCTCATTAAAATGTTTGAACTTATAAACAACCATGATATTATCAATTAGAACTGTGTTCCACAAGTATTGGGTAGGCTTACAGAGGCCACAATCAAAGGTCGAGAAGACATTTTGTTAAAAACTTTTTGTTGAGACCAATTTTTTTACAAACCATATACAGTGGGTTGCCAAATTATTTGGGACACTTCACTTTTTAAGTAATTTTAAAGTTTAAATGATTTTTGCAAGCAAATAATTTTTTTTAAATAAAAAGTTTTGAGTGTATTTTAGTCACTAATATAACTATAGTTGTTTTTAAACTGTGGCAATTTGTGATAACCCGATCTGTCAAAAAGTTAGGTTATTACTCAATTAGCTGTCAATTTTTGAAAAGTGTAGTTGAAAGTCAAAAATTCAAAATTGATTTCAGTTACTTATTTTTGGAACAATTTTTTGCAAGTTTTTTGAGTTTAAAACTATTGAAACCTAAATATTCGTTAATAGTTTAATTAGTTTAGTTATTAATTTAGTATTTTTGCTACTTTTAATGCATAAATCCCTGACATACAACTATTCTTACGTCTCGTTAATTTTTTTAGTCTCCAGACTTAACCTCCCAAAAAAAACAGAAAAGTAAAAACCTTACTTCTTCATTCTACACATTCTCAGAGAGAGGTTGCAAGCGTTTCAAAGTCAGTAGTGAGTCGAATTTAAAAAAAAAAATGGTACAAATGTGACTCTAGAACCAGACCATGTCAGCAAAAGTGGCAGTAAAGGATCACTACTCCATGTTATGACCGTAAATTTAAAGACATCTGTCTTAAAAACAGAAAAAAAAGTGTGGCTCAACTAGCTATAATTATAAACAATGAAGGAATTAACGTCTCCAAAAGGACGGTTCAGGGACGGTTGGTTGAAGAGAATTTAGTGTGCTATTGTCCAACCAAAAAAAGAATGTTTAACTGAAGCCATGAAAAAAAAGCGGCTGGAATGGGCTAGAAAACACCAGAATATGACTATTGAAGACTGGAGTAGAGTAAATATAATTTATAATATTGTAAGAAACCAGAAAAATTTAAGGATAAATATTTATTTTTGAAATATCTTTGATATATTTTGCAGGTCAAATATCTTTAAAATGTTTTACAGGTCTGCTTCTTGGGCCAATCAGCATTTCAAATTTTGATGGACAAAAGCTCATTTGTTCGACGATGCCCAGAAAAAAATTTCCTTTTGGAAAAAGTTCAACATCCTGTGAGTGTAGGGGTGTGGTCTGTGATCTCAGCCAAGGGTATGGGCTGCCTTAACATTGTGGAAGGAACCATGAAGCAGGATTGGTCCTGCCATATGGTTCCTTCTTACAAGCGATTACTGGAAAACAGGCTCCTGCTCCAGGTCTAAGAATGGTTCCCTGGTAATGAAGAGTATATGTTCATGCATGACTCAGCACCGTCCCATAAAGCTAGAAGTGTTACAGCATTCCTAACTGAAAAAAAAGTGCATGTTTTGCCATGGCCAGGGAATGCACCTGATATTAACCCTATAGAAAATTTATGACAGTTCATAAAACAGAAAATTGCCAAAAAAAATTATCACTAACAAGCAGCAATTGATAGAAACCCTTATAAGAGAGTGGAATAGCAACCTCAGTCTCCAACACAATGCAGAAGTCTACATAGATAGCATGCCCAAATGCCTGAAAGCTGTTATTGTAGCTAAGGGTGGCATTACAAAATATTAAGATTATTACCTTATTTGTCATGTTTTCAAACTTTTTATAAAAAAAATAAATAGCAATGAATAAGTAATTATGTTGTTTTATATTCTAAATAAAACTCTCTACCAATAAAAACAATTAAAAAAATAACAATAAGATACATATTTATTCATTAAAGTAGTTTGTACTTTAAAATTACTTAAAAAGTAAAATGTCCCTAATAATTTGGCAACCTACTGTAGTTAAAAAGTGTAATTGTTTGCATAGAAAAGTTGTCAATGCCATTTCAGTAATTGATTTCAAGAAAAAGTTTAAAGAATTTAGCTTTGATGAATTCGTTGATGATTTTTCAAGATTTTTTTTTGTATTACTTTGTTGTGATATCTTTCTACCATTAGCACCTATCTACCTTTTGATATCCATCTATCTTTATTTGGTATGTCAGCTTTTATACAATTCTGGCCTTCTTAAAAGGGTTGATAAAATTCAAAGAAGATTAGAGATCATTGCCTTAAAAGAAATATTTCAAAATAACGTGTGTCCAATAAGATCAAATAAAAAGTTTTTCCTATTAAATAAAATTATTTGTATTCATATGCTTTTGGTGTCTAATTATATAAGTTGTACATCAAATAAGTCTTGTGTGTTCTTTTAACAAGTGGCTGCAAATGTTTATAATGTATTTGTTACATTCAGAGTTGACACATTTTTGTTATTTTAAGTTTGTTTATAATGTATTTGTTACATTCAGAGTTGACACATTTTTGTTATTTTAAATTTGTTTATAATGTATTTGTTACATTCAGAGTTGGCACATTTTTGTTATTTTAAATTTGTTTATAATGTATTTGTTACATTCAGAGTTGACACATTTTTGTTATTTTAAATTTGTTTATAATGTGTTTGTTACATTCAGAGTTGACACATTTTTGTTATTTTAAAGTTCTAATAACTGTTAAGTTATTAGAAAATAAAGAATAGAGTTAAAGAGTAACAATTTGGTTGACACAAGACTTGAAAATTTGTAGGCTGTATAAGTTAGAAAAACATGATTACGAGAGAAAGTTCCAAAGGGTTCAATTAAGGGGAAAAAACTAAACAAATAAAATTTTTTATGGCATACAGGGACAGATACAGTAAAGAGGTGAGACTTTGCTAAATGACGAGTCAAGCAAAAATGAGTTTATGGAACTAGAGGTGAAAGCTCTTTTAAGTAGGGACCATGTTAGTATTTGTAGAATAGAGATGCAACTTGACGACGTTGAAAGAGAGGCTCTAGCTTGACAGATAGAGCAGGTACTACACAACTACATTTACAATGCATATTTGGACCTTATCTTGAGAAATAAGAGCATCATTGGAAGAACCAGTCTAAATATGACAACATTATTCCAAATAGGGGCAAAAAAGAGGTTAGCAGAGGTAGAAATGAAATCGGGAGTAAGAAAATGGCAAGCACGATAAAAAGAAGCAACTTTAGCAGCTGCTTTTTTTTTTTTGCATTTGCATTTGCATTTAGCAATCAATTGTATATATGGTTTCCATGAAGGGTCATAAATGAATGATAATCCGAGAAGAGGACTCAGTGAAGGGCTTGCTATTTATCAATATAGGAATGTCAACAGTATTGCTATTTGTATAATATAGTTATTTGTAGTAAATAACTAAGTTTGGTTGAAGCTAAAATTCACAAGCCATGCAAGCCTCAATCTGTTACAGAGGTTAGATCAGATTCAAGATTAAATTTTTGTCAAGGCAGTAGTATAAAGTTAAGTCACCAGCAAATAAAGCCACTTTAGATGTAAGGTTGCCAGGAAGATCACTAATATAGATAAGAAACAAAACAGGATTAAGGATAAAATCTTGAGATACCGCAGAAGTTACTAGAAATGAAGAAGAGTGTTGGCATTTAAGGATGACTTTAAATAAGTGGTTCAAATATTTATGATTTTTATAAAAACTGGAGTATATAATTGTATCATCAGCAAATTGAGCAATTAAACCACTTAAGAGGTAAGATTGTCACATAAGATCAATATATTAATATAGAAAAAAACTCCCTTTGGTGTGACCTATATGGACAATATTAGGAGATAACGAGAAAGAGTTTCAAATTAAGGCTTTTTTTAAATTGTTTTTATTGTAGGCTTATTCTCACTCTCTTTTTATTCGTAAGCCCTAATAAAACCTAATGGTCTGTTTTTGAGCACTATCAATGGGAATATTATCACTGTACAAAGTTATTGGCTTTTTTTTAGGATACTTATTACTTAAGTATAAAGACGTCCGAAACTTGTGTTGTTTAATGAATCTTAATGTAAGTAAAGATGTTACTACAAAATAATAACAGTTTATGTGATTAGGAAATTATTTGTTTATTTAGTATAAGGTTTAAGTCTATAATATATTTTTTGAGTTATTGTTTTTTTTTAACTTATTTCCAAATAACTTTAAGTAAATTTTTATGTTATTGTCAGTTATTTATTATTTATATCTAATATAAGTAAGGAATTTTTTTTTTAAATGTTATTTTAATTTATGTGTTTTTAAATTCTTTTTACATCAATCGATCTTTTTAAATCAAAATGATTCAGTTTATTTTATATTTCTCTATATCTATATGTATGTTTTCTCTTAAGAAAAATAATTAGGAATAGGAAAATTAAAAAATATTCTTTATATATTTATATTTTATATAACATTAAAAAAGTATATTGTGTTTTATAGTTAGTATATATGTTTATAATGTTGTCTCCTTGATTTCAAAGTGGTGTGACTTGGCAAACTTGTAGAGCAATATTTGTCAACCTTACCATTCAAGCAATGTTACTGCTTTAGGTCTAAGTTTTGTCTAGCCTTTAATATAACTATACTAAAAAATACATAACATTATCTTTGATAATTTTTTGTTTAATGTTGTCACCTATGGCTTATCTTTATGTTGGTGTCTGTTGTTTAAAAATGATTAATAGGTAGTTTCATTACTAGGACTCACTGCTTTTATTTATTTACTAAAAGTCATTCAAGACATCGTTTCGCTATAAATACATTTTGTTTATCATGAAATAAAAATATTTAACAACTACGATTCAGGTATCACAACAGCTTATCTCTATCAGATACATTGATTTTCAAATCACGTATTATATTTTTGTTCATATTTACTTATTCATTACATTTTTTAACTTCAGATTTATCATATGGTGTATTTATTTGTTATAGAAGAACAAATCATTATAAATTTTTATGAATTTTTTAAAAATATCTGCTGGTAATTAGTCCAGTCAACATTTAAAGTTCAATGTTGCATATACCTTTTTTAAGTAATTTCTAGGCTTTTTTAAATGCTTTTCTTATTCAAGTAGTTTTACAAGCACGGTCTGCAAGTAAATTAGAGCTGAAAAGTTTTTCAGCTTTCAAGGAGAATTAATCTGTTTAATTTAATTTGTTTAAATAGAGTAGTTTAAAAAAATGTTTGTTTTTCGTTTTTTACTTTTTCGGATTCTTAAGAACTAGGCAACTTAGAGAAGCAAGATTTGTTCTTTTTTTTAGTACAATTAGAAAGAGCTGAAGTGCTTTTTAGTCACTTCAAATCAATTGTTTGTTTGTTTTTTAAATAGAAGGATTAATAATAATAAAAATTTTTAGACAGTTGAACTGTTACTGATTTGAGTAAGTTTAATACTTTGTTTTATTTTATATTAGATATATTTTATGTATTTAACATGGAAAGCTGACTGTAATTTGTTTGACAGGTAAGTTTATATACATAAATGTGCTTATATTTCAGTATATTTTATATTTCTCTATCTATATAAATATTATCTTAAATAAAAAAGAAAAAAAAATTTTTGAATATATATTTATATATATATATATATATATATATATATATATATATATATATATATATATATATATATATATATATATATATATATATATATATATACATACATACATACATACATATATTACTTTAGACTGACATTGCTTCTTTTTTTAAAAAAGGTTCTGCATTTATTATTTTTGTGCATTAAGATTGTGTCTGAAGGTAAAAATAACTTTGTGCATTGTAGTCTAAATTCTTTGTTAAATTAAAAATAATGTAAAAAAATTTTGTTATATATTTTTAATGAACAACTTCTTTATATAAACTTATAAAAATATATGAATATCAATAAAACTTAATTTAAAATAAAAGTCTTTGATTAGAAAAGATCACAATTTGTAAAATTATTTTATGTTCATTTATTCATTTGTAACAGTAGTATAATCACTGGTAATGTGTTTAATGATAACAGATGTATAATATTAGGCTCGAAGATGTTTTTAGTGTAAATGGTAATAGGTGACTTGAAAAATTGTTGTCAAATGAAAGAGATAGATTTAGGCCTGATAAAATTAATTGTCGTTGAAATGTAAGAAATTCTGCTCGATGAACAGAAAACTTACTTGCCAGAATTCATTGTCAAGCGGTGTTGATGTTTATTAATTTGATTTTACATTAGACACTTAAGAATAAAGCAAGGTATGAATTTTACTATTTATAGTAACAATTAATAACAGTTTCAATTTTAAATGATTTTAATTTTTTTTTTTTTTTTTTTCCAAACATAATTTTGTTCTTTTTTTTTTAGTTGCCTTTATCATCACTTGATTATTTTGCTTACTGTTGAAACATGGTTTTAATTTTGTAAATTTAATATGATGTGAAATTTACTTTATTAATCATTAGTCAATAGTTAGAGAGAAGCTGAATCTTAATTAAGCAATGCTGGAAATTAACTTTTAATTCAGGTAAAAATAATTTTGTTTATTGGTAGCATAAAATCAGTTACTGTTTTTTATTGCATATCTTTTTTACTTTTTTTAACATGCTGCTTTTGAAACACTTCCTCTCTTTCTCTTAGATGAGACTTAAATGACAGTAAGTACAGGGAGAATTGATAAAACTCGTGTAATTACTGAGCTCTTGCGCATTTTTCAATACTACAATTGATAATGACCATTTATAAGATATATTTTACGAGTTGCTATTTAAAGATATAATTCTTTAAATTGTTCAACTATAGTTGTCCCTTGGTTGTTCAAATATTGTAATAAAGAAAATCTTTTTAGTTTCAAGTATTTTACTTTAGGGATTGTCCATATATTACATAATGCGAAATTAAACTTATAAACAAAAGATATATCTCAAAAATCGTGTTTCTCTCATAGCCAACTATATGTTGCATGTTCAAAAACTAGAGCATTTAATAGTTTGTTTTTCACAATTGTTAAACATCCTATCAAGGTAAAAAGTGAACACAAATAGTGTTTACTTTCTATTGTTCTTAATTAATTATCTTTAGATTTTTATTTCGAAAATTTACTGTTAAAGGTTGTGAGCATGTGTAACTTTATTTATTATTTTTTTTTTTTCCATAGTTTTTGATAAATATATCTGTCATTTAATATAAAATGTGCTTATATGTCTTATATAAAGTCATATTTGTTTATAGCTGTATATATGTTTATATTGAGTTGTTTCTATGTTTTCAAAGTGGTGTGGCTTGGTATTATGTTGAGCAAGTTTGATAACTTTGCCAGCCTAGAGGTGTACTTATAGCAGAGGTGTGACTTAGCAGCATTTAATGCTAGGCAGTGTTACTGCTTTAGAGCTAGGTTGTGTTGTCTAGCCTTTTTAAATTATTCTGAAAACACATAATAATGTCTGTTAATGTTTAGCGTAATGTGTATGAGAGAGTATGCAACCTAAATCTTTAAATCTAGCGTGCTTTAATGTCCTAAATTTGAAATAATTGAATAACTAATGTTGAATATAAAAACAAATATACCTTATTTAAAGTTTAATAAAAAGATAAATATAACTCTAAAATATTTTTTTAATTTTGCCTTTTATATTTTAATTTAGTTTGTTATTTTCACTGGATTTTATTGCTATGTGTTATTGCTGTAATGTTACTGTTGTGATGTTTTGTGTTGATATACAGCTTGGCTTACCTTCCCGTTGGCGTCTATTGTTAAAAATGAATCATAGGTAGTTTCATTATTGAAATTTACTGCTTTTATTTATTTACTAAAAACAAAGACAACATTTTGCTAAAAGTGCAATTTAAATCTTAGTTTGATTTTTTTTTTGTTAATCCTTTTGTACTTCAAAACAGATATTATAGTTACATTTTTGATAAAAGTTTATATTAACTGCAATTAAAGTAACTATAAATAGGTAAATCGATTTTCAATTTTTATGAAATCGATTTACCAATTTATAGTTACTTATTTTGAAATTTGGTGTTTTTTTTGTAATTATGATGTAATTCCATTACTTTTTATTTTAGATTTACGTTATGACACATTGATAAGATTTATAAAAAAAAACCTGATTTCCTTTTGTAACGGGTGGTTACTAAAAATCCGGACAAACTTTAACTGAATTTTAATGCCACAAGCTAAATCTTTTTTATTCATGTTTATATCCATTTTATAGCTTATTTAATTCTCTATAAGTTAATTTTTTTTTTTTTTTTAGATAATTAATAATAATTAAAAAAATAATGATGACCAAGCAAGAAGAGGTAAGAAAACGGATTTACGAGTTCTATTTGAATAATAAATTGCAAGGTAAAAAATTCACAGTAGCTCACTTCAATGCTGAAAAAATCCCAAGAAGCACTATCTATGATATAATCAAACGTGTTGAGAATGATTCTGGGCACAAAAGAGTGCAAGGAAGTGGTCGTGTGGCCAAAATCATGACCCCTAAGAGGATCAAGCGCCTGAAAGCCATATTTGATAACAGTGACCGAGTTTCGATGAGGCAAGCTGGTCGAAAATTTGGATGCAGTCATTCACATATCATTAAAACTCTTGCCAAGTACACTGACATCAAAGGTTATACAAAACAGGGTATACCTCATCGACAAGAGAACCAGAATGAGCGAATCAAAACTGGCATTGATCGTCTTTATCGCGTTTTTAAAGGAAAATCGGTCATCCTTGACGATGAGTCTTACTTCACGCTGTCACACTCAACAATTAATGGAAACAGCACCTACTACTCTAGCAACAGAGACAAGACTCCACCAAGTGTTAAATATCGCAAAAAGCGCAAGTTCGAACCCAAGGTGCTTGTCTGGCTGGCCGCTTCTGACAAAGGTGTTTCAAAACCATTTTTTATACCCAGCGTCCTTGCAGTCAATAAAGCCATCTATGAAATGAATTGTATTAGGAAAAGATTAGTGCCGTTCATCAACGCTTATCATGCCGATGGTAATTACATATTTTGGCCGGACCTGGCTTCATCTCATTATGCCAAAACCGTGACCAGCTGCTACGAGACTCATAACATCAATTTTATCAAAAAAGTTGACAATCCGCCAGCCGTACCGGCGTGTCGACCAA